AGTTTTAGGAAATCTCAAACCACTGATCTCCAAAAACATCTTAAAGTTCACCCAAAAATAAACATTGTGCTATAATTTTAGTAAACTTCCTTTTGTTCCAAACCTTTATGACTTTATTACTTCTGTGAAACTTAAAAGATGTTTAGCAGAATGTTCATGCTGCTCTTCTTCATGTAATAAAAGTGAACAGGATTGTTTATTGCCAAGCTCCAAAAGACACCATAAAAGTTATCTATGTGACTTGTGTAAGTAACTGTAATTTAATTACATATTTTTTCTTAGTAACTGTAACTGATTACAATTACTTTTATTTTGTAATTAAATTACGTAATTCCGTTACATGTAACTAGTTACTCCCCAACACTGCTTGTGTGCTATATATTACTTTATATATTTATATATAGCTTTGTGATGGGTACAGACCAAAATTCATGTTGTTAGTTGTTTGGTCACACACACAAAAAAAAATCTTACTGCAGCTCTTAAATCTACATTGTGTTTGTTTGTTAATGCATTACAATTTAAAAAAAAATAATTTTTTTTTAGTATGTTAATTATTATGTTAATGACAATATTGTTCAAAAGTGTGTGGTTGGCAATATTTTTGGGAAAATGTCTCTTATTATCAACAAGGTTGCATTTATTTGATCACAAATACAGTAAAAAATAATTACAATTACAATTTTAAATAACTATTTTTAGTGTTAATAAATGTTAAAATGTAACATAATTTGTGATGCATTTTTAGGATTCTTTGATTAACAGAAAGTTCAAAAGAACAGCATTTATTTGAAATAGAAATCCTATATAACATTCTATCACTTTTGGTCAGTTCAATGCATCCTCGCTAAATAAAAGTATTAATTTAGGATAGGATATTTTAAGCTGAGGCATAAGGACTTCTTTTAGTTTTGTCAATTATGCCAATGCAGTTCATTACTGACTGAATTCTGTATATGCAAATGAGACAATTTTTGTGCAAACCAAGGAAAAAAGTGATGAATGCAAGTATAGTTTACCCAAAAATGTGAAATGACAAGATGTTCATTTTGGGGTTCATCTGGGTTCTTAGCACAAATATCAATCTTTTGAAAGCTAATGAACCACACAAGAGAACTGACACGTCTCTATGTCAATATATAGGAGAGCAGATTTGTTTTGCTTTTAGCTTCATCAAGGGTGACAAATCTATCAACCCCCCCTCAGTAAAGTTGGAGCATCTCAAGATGGACCCTGTTAGTCTCTGCCCTGCTCAGATGACCAGCTCTGGCTTTCTAGCTGTGCTCTTAGCAGTTATGTTCTCACATAACTATGATGCAGCATAAAGTGCATTGGGTCCATTAATATGTGATGCCATCATTATTACACACATAGAGCCACTCAACAGACACTTAAGTGCAGTATCCACAATGCCACGCCTTATCCATTTGTGTGATGAATCAGTCTGTGTGTGTTTGTGTGCGTGAGCCTGTAGAGAGGGAAAGATCAGGATATCACAAGAGTTAGGAGCCATTAGGCCATTATTGCCTGAAACTGGATACACTGAGAGCTTGCCAGGGTTCCAGTTGCCCAGAATGAAGATGGACAGGACGCTCGATGAGCACAATTGCGGTGCTGTGCTGAAAGGCAGTTTCTCTCTCTCCCGTCCCAGACCAAATGAAACAGGCTAGCCTAGTTAATCACAAAAAAACAGAGATCCAAAAGTTAGGATGCGTGAAATGACAACAGGAGAAGGCTTTTAATCTAGCAATAAATTGCTGTATCGTCTTAGAAGGAAAGTCAATACAAACCAAACGCCAAATGTTATTGTACTGCAGGACAATTCTTCTATTTATAAGGGATTTTTTCTTTCCTGAAATTGTATACAGTGTTATCTTTTATTGGGAAAAGGGAGAAAAGAGAAACCAGAGGGAAATGATCACAAATGAAAAAGGCTGAATGAGACGGTTGGAGAGAAAGGAAGCCATGACAAACTCTCTAGTCGGAATGGAATTTCAGTTATAATGAACTAATTTAGATTAGATGATTCCTCTCACAGTTTTTCATTTGTCACCTAATCATCGTTTATCTCACTCCTGCTCTTCTTAGTCGGTCCTTCTGTCTTTATAACCTTCATTATGGGCAGATCATGTTCTTCTCCCCCTTTCCTCCACTGACTATATGTGACCCTGGAGCACAAAACCAGTCTTAAGTCGCTGGGGTATATTTGTAGCAATAGCCAACAATACATTGTATGGGTCAAAATTATAGATTTTTCTTTTATGCCAAAAATCATTAGGATATTAAGTAAAGATCATGTTCCATGAAGATATTTTGTAAATTTCCTACTGTAAATATATCAAAACTTAATTTTTGATTAGTAATATGCATTGCTAAGAACTTCATTTGGACAACTTTAAAGGCGATTTTCTCAATATTTAGATTTTTTTTGCACCCTCAGATTCCAGATTTTCAAATAGTTGTATCTCTGCCAAATATTGTCCTATCCTAACAAACCATACATCAATGGAAAGCTTATTTATTCAGCTTTCAGGTGATGTATAAATCTCAATTTTGAAAAATTTACTCTTGTGGTCCAGGGTCACATATGTGTCTGGCTTAACAGCTGTTTGAGAAGTCAGCAGATGTTTGCTTTAGTTATGTCTGTACAGCAGCACACGGCATGGATGTCTTTGATGGTTGATAGTTTTTCATGTAGTACATTATGTTCTCATCATGTTTCTCCAGAATTCCTTTACTTTTTAAATTATTACACATTTTATTTAAAATATTAACATGGCTTACTTGGCTGTTGGTAGATTTTGGAACTGACACAAAGGGAAACTACCTTTTCTGTTAATCGGCCAGTTGAACATGGTTATATAACTTAATAATGAATCATCCTGGCACATATATTGGCCTGTCACTCATTTTTCATTTATTTTTACAGATGGTTGTGTTTGTTTACTGCCAGTGTGACACTTTGAATGCGGCGTAGAGATTGTGTGGTAAAAAATCGTCTTGTAGAGTTTGAATTTGTGGTGGACTGATCTTTTTTTTTTGCCTCTGTCACCACTGACGTCTTGCCTTGTGCCGATACCCCTGACTCATGACTTCCACAGAGGTGTCAGCAACAGGCTGATGGTTGGAGGAGCTTAACAGGAAAGGACAGAGGGAGGTTGTGGATATAAAGCAGCAGCTTTTGTCAGTGTATTTGGTGGTCAGCAGGCTCTCAACTGCACAGACAGACATTAACCTTGGCAGGGGTCAGACCGGGCCAAGATTGGTGCCGCACTGATGCAGTAAACAGGTATTGAGCTAGATAATATTTAGAAGAGACAGTGGGGTCACAGATTTTCACTGTGATTTCACTTTACTTTGATGTTTGATGATGGTGAGGATTAAGAGTTGGAATGAAACATTCTAAACAACCTAAATGGAATATATTAATACATACCATATAAATACAAATCCATTAAATAACAGAATTAAATAAAATAGAAATACAAATTTTATATAATGAATATTAATATATATATTTATTTACATTACCATTCAAAAAGCTTGGGTCAGTATGTTTTTTTTTTAATTAATGAATTAGTAATTTTATTCAGGATGCATTAAATTGATCAAAAGTGACAGTAAAGACATTTACAATTTTAAAAAAAAAAGCTGTTTTTGTTTTACTTTCGATTTATAAAATGATCCTGAAAAAATTCAGCTCTAATAATAAGAAATGAGCACCAAATCAGCATATTAGAATGATTTTTGAAAACTGGAGTAATGGCCAGCTTTGCCACCACTGTAATACATTTCAAAATATATTAATAGAAACCAGTTATTTTAAATTGTAATAATATTTCACAATATTACAGCTTGGATTTTTCATTAAATAAATAAATGCAGCATCTTGCCAACCTTTCAATCTTACATCATTCCTTCATTCAGCCGGTGCATAATAATGTAAAAGGTGAATTCAGTTCATAATTAGAAAACTGCAGAGAAGTGAGCTTATGCAAGAGCTTAAATGATGACTTGAATTGCAGACAGTCCTAAATGCCTGAAGATTCCAGACACAGGCCACATACACACACCACAACCAGTAAGCTCAAATTGAAATATGAAACTGAGTTTCCCAGCCCCTGCCATCAGTGTCCAGCTATGTCATCTGCTGTTGGAATAAATAACCCTGATTGGACGAGGGGTTGACAACAAGCACCAGCTGCCTAGCAGGCACCGCAGTAATTCATTTGCCGTGCAGATGTTCTTTCAGGGCCAATGCATCTAATTAGCTGCAGCTTTTTTTGAACCAAAGACCTCCATATTTAATTCATTCAATGAAATATGGATGTGGAAAATGTTCATATTATTATCTGTCATTAGCCATTATAATTTCAAAATCCTGTATTCTTTTTAGTAAAAGTGGAAGTATTATAACATCAAATAGTCATGCACTTTTCATAATCGAATTGAAATCTATATTAAGTAATATATATATATATATATATATATAAACTTTAAAAGAAATAAATGATACACACACACACCCCTTTAAACATTCATCTCTTGTTTTTCGATAAAGCATGCACATTTTCAGACACATCCAATACTTCTAAGCATCAGTTTTAGATTAGGATGTGTCACGTTTGGTTTATTTTCTCTTTAGACAGCAGATAAAACAATTACTTCATCTGTGTCACTGAGCCTAGAGTGGCTAAAAGATGCAATTAGGCCTTCACTTTGTGCTAATGTGGTTATCCGAGACCAATAGCATTAAAAACTGCTGTTCTCAGACCTTCAGTGCAACTGATGACTGCGAGAAAACACACTGTCCCTTTTTCAACTTTATCTATCAGTCCAGGGTTTTGTAGACCAGTATATTTCATGGCTATTTTTACTCCCTTCGCCCTAGCTGTTCATTGATTTATTCATTTTAGCTGTTTTATTGTTTTGTCCTGTCCTTTTGACTGTACTAATTCCTCTCCTTCTCTTTCTCTTTCACACTCTCTGGTTCTTTCCAGCGTGCTTGCTGCAGTCGGAGCTGGTGAATTATGAGCGGGTTAAGGAGTACTGTTTGAAGGTACTCGGACACCAGCAGGATCACTTTAAGGCCATGTACCGTGCTGGGATTGCCTTCTACCACCTGGGAGACTACGAGTGTGCCCTGCGTTACCTACGCGATGCCAAGTGCCGTGAACCCACAGGTGGGCATTATGATCGCTTTGTTATCATACACAGAAGTACTTCTCAAGTGGTTTCACTTTCATGTTCCAGATTTTACAATTGACCTAAGCAATAACTAAATTGTTTGTTAGGGATTCACCGATATTCAAATTCTGTCCGATACTGCTAATCAGATAATTATCCTCATGTTATGTTTGATATTATGTCTATTTTGTCTAAATAAATATTAAAATCGATTGTTTTAAATCAACTGTTTTGTCTTAGTGAATTTAGACAAAAAACATTAGGAAAAATATTTTGTGTGACAACATAAAGAATGGATATTTATTTTGAAACTGCTTAAAAGATTACATTTAACTGTTATAAGGCATACTATTTATTAATATATTAATTATCAATATATTTTTTATTATATAAATTATTTTATAACTTATTATATTATTATTATTATTATTATTAGAATAATAAATTATTAATATATTTATTAATATAAAGCCAGTATTATTTTAGCATTTCTTATGTAATATTATAGCATTTATTAATATTTTGAATGAGCTTTTATTGTTATTTTCAATTTTCATTTAGGTTTAGGTTTTAGCATTTTGTTATCTGTTTTAGCATTTTGTTATCTGTCATTTTTATTAGTCTTTTATTTCTATATAGTTTGGTTTTATTTTTATTTTAGTTTTAGTAATTTAGAACTTAATAATATTATTTATTTCACTTAATAAATAAACATTTCTGATTATTGTTTCAGTTTTTCTATCTACGGTTTTTCCACTCTATCTATCTATCTATCTATCTATCTATCTATCTATTAGCTTTATTTCAAATAAGGTAATAACAACACTGCCGCAATTCAACAGTTGAGAATCATTGTAAACCATTTAGCTGTATTTATGTTATGTTGATGTGATCTAATGAAGCATGTTTTAGTCTTATGCTGGTGTCTTTATTTCTTTCTCCCTTGCTCTTCTTATGTTCTATACTTCATCCTCTCTCTATCCAGACACAAACGTGCTGCGATACATCCAGCTGACCGAGATGAAGATGAGTAAGACCGGTCAGCAGGTGCGTGAGAGTGGGAAAGAGTCATTGGGTTAATTCGGCCCGACCCCCCCTAAATGCCACACCCTAACCCTGATAAAAAAACTCTTCTCAAGTCTCTCCCCTTTTTCCCACAATTCCCCCCATCCCTTAGACAACCAGGATACATGTGCTGCGCCCTTCTCTGAAAGCAGACTCGAAACGGGCACAGCTACAGCACAGCACCCCGCGACTGTCTTTTCTCGCTCTGAGATTTCTCTGTCCCTTTAAATCCAACGTCCCCGGTGCTTTTCATTTCCCAGGTATTGAGAAACTGACTGATGAACAAAGACCACGAAGATGGAAAAAGAAGAAATGCCCTGTTATAATGATATAATCAATGGGGCTCTGGCATTACAATTTAAAATGACATGATCGAATGAGGATATTAACATAGAATTGAATCTGTTGGTAGAGAATAGAGTGAAAGCACACGAATCAAAGCCACACTGCTACTTAAGCGCAGAAGATGAAGGTCAACGATTAGGCTAGTGACCTTTGAACTCACTCTGATCCATTGAGAAGCACTCTCTCTACTCAATACAGAAGAGAAGCGGAGAGGTCGATGTTCGATTCACACTCACCTGCCAACGCCTGTTACTTTCTGTCTCTTTTTTCTCTCTCTTGAATTTGGGCATATTATTTTCAATTTTCATTTAGGTTTAGGTTTTAGCATTTTGTTATCTGTTTTAGCATTTTGTTATCTGTCATTTTTATTAGTCTTTTATTTCTATATAGTTTGGTTTTATTTTTATTTTAGTTTTAGTAATTTAGAACTTAATAATATTATTTATTTCACTTAATAAATAAACATTTCTGATTATTGTTTCAGTTTTTCTATCTACGGTTTTTCCACTCTATCTATCTATCTATCTATCTATCTATCTATCTATTAGCTTTATTTCAAATAAGGTAATAACAACACTGCCGCAATTCAACAGTTGAGAATCATTGTAAACCATTTAGCTGTATTTATGTTATGTTGATGTGATCTAATGAAGCATGTTTTAGTCTTATGCTGGTGTCTTTATTTCTTTCTCCCTTGCTCTTCTTATGTTCTATACTTCATCCTCTCTCTATCCAGACACAAACGTGCTGCGATACATCCAGCTGACCGAGATGAAGATGAGTAAGACCGGTCAGCAGGTGCGTGAGAGTGGGAAAGAGTCATTGGGTTAATTCGGCCCGACCCCCCCTAAATGCCACACCCTAACCCTGATAAAAAAACTCTTCTCAAGTCTCTCCCCTTTTTCCCACAATTCCCCCCATCCCTTAGACAACCAGGATACATGTGCTGCGCCCTTCTCTGAAAGCAGACTCGAAACGGGCACAGCTACAGCACAGCACCCCGCGACTGTCTTTTCTCGCTCTGAGATTTCTCTGTCCCTTTAAATCCAACGTCCCCGGTGCTTTTCATTTCCCAGGTATTGAGAAACTGACTGATGAACAAAGACCACGAAGATGGAAAAAGAAGAAATGCCCTGTTATAATGATATAATCAATGGGGCTCTGGCATTACAATTTAAAATGACATGATCGAATGAGGATATTAACATAGAATTGAATCTGTTGGTAGAGAATAGAGTGAAAGCACACGAATCAAAGCCACACTGCTACTTAAGCGCAGAAGATGAAGGTCAACGATTAGGCTAGTGACCTTTGAACTCACTCTGATCCATTGAGAAGCACTCTCTCTACTCAATACAGAAGAGAAGCGGAGAGGTCGATGTTCGATTCACACTCACCTGCCAACGCCTGTTACTTTCTGTCTCTTTTTTCTCTCTCTTGAATTTGGGCATATCTCAACTCAATTTCTGAACTGTTTCAATTCAAGGGCTAATTCAAGTGTTTGTAATTTGTCCTTTGATATCGATTTTGTTTCGCCTCTCGGTTTGCTGTACTATAGTGGTTTGAGCAAGTTGTTATCTATCCCTTTCTCAAAGGTACAACATCCTCTGTACTAATATTAGCAGGTGTTTTGTGAACCTTGTTGTCCATTTCCCATGTATTGGACTGTCTCATAACATAACCCCTCCCCCTTAAGAGAAGAGTGCATCCTGATGATGTCACAATGGTTATGCAGCCTGTTGGAATATTATCAACTAATGGAGCCATATTGAAAACTCTTGTGTTTCTACAAGAAACGGGAAGAAGTGCTTGATAGAGGTCTGCTAAACGTACATAATATATCTACCCCAAAAGATCAGTGCTAAGTAAAAGGACAACAATGCTCTGTTGACTCTGAGAACTGTAGTTTTGACAACCATTAAACGTTACGCGTTTGTCCTCTTCTTAATGTTATGCTTTTTGAGCTTTGTTCATTGAGGCAGCATCTCCAGAGGATTCATTTGAATGTGAAGACGGCTTTGACAGCACATGCCATTCTGAGTCTAGTTTGGATTAATGGCTTTGAGGAGATGGGGACAGACAGATGAAATTATCCATCTGACCTAATATAAGAGATTTAGTTGTGTCAGTGGGACTCTGGGGATGTTGTGCCATGGTTTCAGATGAGAAGACGCACTGATGAGATTCAGAACACATAGCAGACCATGCAACCAAATCTCTTTGTTGCAGTGACACTTGAGGAATATGGTGGTCAAATAAGGTGCATTCAGTTACTTTTTTCTTAATTTAAAAAAGTTTCATACATACAGTACAGTGAGTAGAATATAATTTAGCAAATAGAATTAAAATGATAAATACTCACATGCAATCAATACTCCAGTCATATCTTCTGATTTATTCCACATGGAGCGGGTTGCCTTCTCATGGGGCTTCCATGTCTAATAGTAATAAAGACAACAATATCAATAATAACAATTATTAGTTCATTAGTATGTAGTACTTTCTCAGTGCTCAAGGCACTTTACAAAACAGAAATGAATGAAAATGAAGTGAACAGCAGTTAATACACAAACTTCATACATCCATACCAGTAGGTGTCAGTATATGCTTCTCTGGGATGAAAAAGAACTGGTGAAACACAAACAAAAACTTATTCCCCCTAATTCACAGACAAGGCTTAAGCCTAAAGTGTAAGTCTGAGCTGTTTTAACTGAAAGAAACTTGCACTGACTGATCTTAAAATATATCAGTGCCTCTCTTTTGTCTCAAAATGCACACCAGTAATGTTTTTTTTCTAAGGCACGTTAATAAAAATTACTTAAATGTCCTAATTGAACTATTGCCTAGTCCTGGCTTAGTCTAAGCCCTGTCTGTGAAACCAGGCCATTGAGTGCACCTTTTAATGCTCAAAATCAACTCTTGATAGTGTAGTCATGAACGATTGGCTAGAGAAATCAAGTGATCTTTTTCTGTGCTGTTCTAACCCAATCTCATGAGGAAACGTAACTATTTTACGAAAAGTGCCGATTTCACATGGATTTGTATGACTGGCAAAGAGCGTGAGATTTTTACAAAAATGTAAGCATTAAGGTCCATCCCGCATCCCACCCAAAAACTAGCCTTCAGTGGGACGCAAGATGATCATGTGAAAAAGTACAAATGAGATTATACGAATTAGCTACCAAAATGTTATACGAATTAAACACCAAAATGTAAAATAGTTACGAATTGCCATGACAGTGCGTTGGCTGTTCTGACGCTTTCCTCCTTTCCAGCTCTGTCTCTTGTCTCTGTATTGTGGCAGTTCTCCACCTTACCTTCGATATATTCTTTTGATTTCTGTAAATGGTAAAGGTCATTTTGTCTATAACAGAGCAATGCTGACAACGCTGATGTCCTGTAAATTATCTCGGTCATCACCTTTGCTTCTTTCAGCTGTGGTCCGGTCCATATGTCCCCATGTGCTGGATCACTTTCTACACAGATGGAGAAACATCAAATCTGACTGTTGTCAACAGACAACAACAAAAGCACAAACTGGTTTATGGACAAGCAAATAAACTTACTGTACTTTACTTTTTCTTGGATGTCACTTGAGGTATGTGTTTGTTGAATGTCAAAGTAGACTTGTGCGGTTTAAAGACATATTAAAATGGTTGTCGAAAGCTTTACTTGATTACACTGTTTTTATCGATATGTGAGAGAGCAAATGAGAAGGACAAATGAAAGAGATTTATGGAAAAATATATTTAACATTGTGAGGGGCAACTTTGTACATGCGTATACGTTCAGTTTTCCTCTTGTATCTTGGCTTATTTGTGATGTCTTAGCCTTGTTTTTTGGTCTGATTGCCAGTCTGAGGATTCAGGGTTTGCCCTTTGACCTCCAGAAAGAAAGGTTGTCTGCGGTGGGTCTGGAGAGAATGACAAGTGGGATTTTGCAGACGAGGAAGAAGAAGGGGTGAGGGTACCCTACTGTCCCGAAAGAGAGAGAAAATCCACTGGTTTCTTTTTACTTTTTTCACGCCTGTTCTGGAGAGAGAGAGACTTTGACATTCATTGCCTCTTTGGGAAGTACTGTACATACTTGCACCGGATCTCAGAAGACCTGTGAACTGGTTGTGTTTACATGCAAGTCCAGGAATGCACTATCGATTGGTTTTTGAAGTCTACAAATAAAGTTTAAAAAGAGAAACTAAGAGTATTATTGTTTGTTTTTTTAATGCAAAATCTAATGCCATTTAATACGGAAATCCCATGAAATTCTGATGGTATTCATCAATTCACATTTCTGCATGTTTTGGTTTTTTTTTTTTTTTGAAATATTAATTAGAAACAATCCATGACCATACCGTACTTCTATCACTCACAGCTCTCCTGCAGAGTTTAGTTCCAACCCTAATTAAACACACCTGAACCAAAGTAATCAAGATCTTAAAATTCACTAGAAACTTCCAGGCAAGTGTGTTAGAGCTGGTTGGAGCTAAACTGTGCAGAACATTGGGCCTCAGGATTGTACACCCTGATCTAGCAGACACAGTTTGGTCTAAAATGTCTTCGATCATCTTTTGCATCTCGTACATGACGTGCCATTCTAAAAAATATGGTGCTCAAGTTCAAATGAGTTCTTTTAAAAAATGACGTTTTATGCTTGCTGCAGTGACTCATGCACTTTATGATTTTTACCATAGCTTTGAGCTTTGCTGAAATGTTTGACACAAAAGCATGAATGAGAAATAAAAGCTAAAATGTTGAATGGCCCCTCACACAAAACTATCAGAAGGCTTCCAATATGGTGCATGAGTCATATTGACTACTTTTATGGCATTTTTTATACATTTCAGAGCTTGACAACCCCTGCCCACTCACTGTATTTTGACGTATTGTATGTAAAAGAGCAGCTTGGACATTTTTCAAAAAACACTTTTTTTGTGTTCCACGAAAGAAGTACAGTCATACAGGTTTGGAACAACATGAGGGTGAGTAAATGGTGCCAGGATGTTAATTTTTGGGTGAACTATTCATTAAATGTGCATACAGCTGTGGTGTTGCATCCGTACCATTAGGTTTCTTTCTTCGCTGCGCTGAGCACCAGCAGCCAAGCATCCAGAGATTCAGTGTTTGTTTGAATCCTCCACAGATTCTGAACTGTAACAGTGGAACCGTCGGTCTCTCCCTCCTCCCTGTCTCTTTCTTCCATCTCTCTCTCTCTCTCTGTCTGTCTTTCTCAGTGGGACATGGTGTGTATGTCACCACTGACTACCTTCCATAATGACATCCAGGGCTGTAAATGTAAAAGGTGAGAGAAAAACACAAACATGTACACACCTGAATAAAAACAGAAGGAAGATAAATAATGGGAAAGAAAATCAGTAACACAGGGACCAATTCTCACTATTAGCACACCTATTATGAACATATTGGCTGTTTATGAGAAAAAAATAAAGCATTCTGCATGACTATATTCAATCTTTTCGATCTTTACCTTCAGCAAGCATGAAAACAAAGCCAAAACAAATCCTGGCCAGGACGCGTCCTGGGAAAATGGCATATATGGTCACCCTATATTCTGCATCTTTAATCCTATCCAAAACCTAAACTTAACAACTACCTTACTAACTATTAAAAAGCAGCAAATTAGGAGTTTATTGAGGCAAAAGTCGTAGTTAATGGTTTGTTAATAGCGAGAAGTGTGACCAGAAAATCTATAGAAGCAATAACAGAGTAGCCTAGAGCAAGACTGACAAAATCATTTGTAATATCAAATAGGGGTATAATGATTAGTTAGGGGTGGCCAATTTGTATATTAGTAATTAGAAGGAAAAAGAGAAGCATTTGTTATAACGCTTAAAATAACTATTAAATCAATCAGAAAATAAATCGCCGAATCTAATACTGTATGAACATGTATGCAGAGGTCAAAATATGATCTGTGTGTAATTCTTATGACCAAAGACTAAGGACTTTGTTATGACACACTCCCTCATATATCTGTCATGTCCACCATCTTCCCTTTTTTTCTTTGTTGTTGCTTTTTATAGCATTGCCATGGAAGTGAAGTGTGGTTGCTAAGTAACTGGCTGGCGTCTGGAAGAGTAAAGAGAGGCTGCTGCTGCTTTCACAGACGAGCAAAAGGACGAGAGCAAGCTATGTCCGTGTTTGAGTGCGTGTAGCTACATGTGTAGTGAACGGTGGCGAGTCTGAGGCTGTTACGCTTTATTGTATGAAACTAGCTTTGGTCAGCTTTTTATAGGCACTGCACTGGAGGTAGTCGGCCCCAGTTTTAGCATTTGCAGTCATATCTTTATCGAGCACTTTGAAGGTATGAAATATAATGAAATATTTCTAGTTTATTAAAATATTTTTTCACATTTTTTGTTTCCATATACTTAATTCTCTCTGTGGAGTTGAATACCTCAGTGTAAGTTAGTATGATATCTTCCCATTGTCCTCAGAGAACAATCGCTGATGTAAACAGACCAGTGTCACGTGCAAGATTGAGCCAGAGATGCTGCTATGTTTATCTTATGTCATGCTATTGTCCACAGCTATGTTCTTAAAGTTGAATTATAAAATGTTTCTTTGGTTTTGCTTTGAGAGTTTACGACATTATTTTTTATTTTATACAATAAGCAAGCGGAAGTGATAATAAAGCTGTTATTTTTGTGCCTACCTGAACATAAAAGCACAAAACAACATTCTCTCTAGGAATTCATTGCGTAATAATTGTTCAACCTGCACTGCGGGACTTTGTCGACATCTAGTGTCCT